GCCTATTGCAAAAAACTAGAAAAAAGGGTAACAAATGATCTAACTCTACAACTCAAAGAGTTAGAAAAAGAGCAACAAGAAAAGCCCAGTGTAAGCAGAAGGAAGGAAATAACAAAAATCAGAGCACAGATAAACGACATAGAGACCAAAGAAACAATACCTAAGATCAACAAAACCAAGAGCTGGTTCTTTGAAAGAATAAACAAGATAGATGGACCCCTATCCAGGCTAACCAAGAAACAAAGAGAGAGGACCCAAATAAACAAAATCAGAAACGAAAGAGGTGAAATAACAACAGATCCCGCCGAAATACAAATGATTGTTACAAAATACTACGAACAGCTCTATTCCAATAAACTGAACAACCTGGAGGAAATGGACATATTCCTAGAAAAATACAACCTTCCAAAACTCAATCAGGAAGAATCTAAAAATCTCAATAGACCAGTGACTTGGGAAGAAATTGAAACAGTCATCAAAAAACTTCCAGCAAACAAAAGCCCAGGGCCAGATGGCTTCACAGGAGAGTTTTACCAAACATTCAAGGAAGAACTAAAACCTATCCTCCTCAGATTATTCCAAAAAATCCAAGAGGAAGGAACACTTCCAAACTCCTTCTATGAAGCCAGCATCACCCTAATACCAAAACCAGATAAAGACAACTCAATGAAAGAGAATTACAGGCCAATATCCCTCATGAACATAGATGCCAAAATTCTCAACAAAATTCTAGCAAATCGGCGCCAGTAGAGCATCACAAAGATCATACACCATGACCAACTAGGATTTATTCCAGGAATGCAAGGATGGTACAATATCCGCAAATCAATAAACGTGATACATCACATAAACAAGTTGAAAGATAAAAATCATATAGTCATATCAATTGATGCAGAAAAAGCATTTGATAAAATCCAACACCCTTTCCTGATAAAAACTCTCAACAAGGTGGGAGTACAAGGATCATACCTCAACATAATAAAAGCTATATATGATAAACCCACAGCCAACATCATACTCAATGGGCAAAAACTAAAACCACTCCCTCTAAGAACAGGAACAAGACAGGGATGCCCACTTTCGCCACTCCTGTTTGACATAGTACTGGAAGTACTAGCCATTGCAATTAGACAAGAAGAGGAAATAAAAGGCATCCAAATTGGAAAAGAAGAAGTAAAGCTATCCTTATTTGCAGAAGACATGATATTGTACATAAAAAACCCAAAAGACTCCATTAAAAAACTAATTGGCTTAATAAATGAATTTGGCAATGTAGCAGGATACAAAATTAACGCCAAGAAATCTATGGCATTTCTATACACCAACAGCGAATTTATAGAAACAGAGACTAAAAAAGCAATTCCATTTACCATTGCACCAAAAAAATTAAGATACCTAGGAATAAATTTAACTAAGGAAGTAAAGGACCTATATGCGGAAAACTACACGACACTGAAAAAAGAGATAGAGGAAGATGTAAACAGATGGAAGAACATACCATGTTCATGGATTGGTAGAATCAACATCATCAAAATGTCCATACTTCCTAAAGCAATCTATAGGTTCAATGCACTCCCCATTAAAATACCAACGGCATACTTCACTGACATAGAAAGAACTCTCCAAAAGTTCATTTGGAACAATAAAAGACCGCGAATAGCCACAGCAATCCTGAGAAAGAAGAGTAAAGTAGGAGGGATCTCAATACCAGACTTCAAACTGTATTACAAAGCCACTGTTCTCAAAACAGCCTGGTACTGGCACAAAAACAGACATATAGATCAATGGAATCGAATCGAGAACCCAGATATCAACCCAAATCACTATGCTCAATTAATATTTGACAAAGGAGGCACGAATATACAATGGAGTCAAGACAGTCTCTTCAATAAATTGTGTTGGGAAAATTGGACAGATACATGCAAAAGAATGAAACTGGATCACCAACTTACACCATACACAAAAGTAAACTCAAAATGGATACAGGACTTAAACATCAGACGGGAAACCATAAAAATACTAGAAGCAACCACGGGCAGCAAAATCTCAGACATATGCCAAAAGAACTTCTTCACTGACACTGCCCCTAGGGCAATGGAAGCTAAAGAGAAAATAAACAAATGGGACTACATCAAAATAAAAAGCTTTCTTACAGCAAAAGAAATCATCAACAAAACAACAAGAAAGCCCACGATGTGGGAGAACATATTTGCAAATGTTACCACTGATAAAGGTTTAATCTCCAACATCTACAAACAGCTTATACAACTAAATAAAAGGAAGATGAATGATCCAATTAAAAAATGGGCAATGGACCTAAATAGAATATTTCCAAAGAAGACAGAAGGAAGGCCAAAAGGCACATGAAAACATGCTCAAAGTCACTAATTATCCGAGAGATGCAAATCAAAACAACAATGCGGTACCATCTCACACCTGTCAGAATGGCCAACATCAACAGATCAACAAACGATATGTGTTGGCGAGGCTGTGGAGAAAAGGGAACTCTTGTGCACTGCTGGTGGGAATGCAGACTGGTGCAACCACTGTGGAGAACAGTGTGGAGTTTCCTCAAAAAACTGAAAATGGAACTCCCATTTGACCCAGTAATCCCACTCCTAGGAATATATCCCAAGAAACTAGAAACACCAATCAGAAAGGATATATGCACCCCTATGTTCATAGCAGCACAATCTACAATAGCTAGAATTTGGAAACAGCCTAGGTGCCCATCAGCAGATGATTGGATCAAAAAACTTTGGTACATCTACACAATGGAATACTATGCTGCCATAAAAAAGAAGGAATTCTCATCATTTGCAGCAACTTGGATGGAAATGGAGAACATCATGCTGAGTGAAATAAGCCAGTCATTGAAAGAAAAACACCACATGACCTCACTCATTTGTGGATAATAAAGAACATTATAAACTGATGAACCAAAAGATAGATATAGAGACAGTATATCAACAAGCAGACTGTCAAATTACAGCGGGGAGGGGAGGAAGATCTGGGGGAGATAATAGATCAACCGAAGGGCTTTTATACATGCACATAAGTACAACCAATGGACATAAAACTCTGGGGAGGGAAGGGATGTGAGGGAGGGAGGGAGGGGGGGCAAAAAAAAAATGAAAAAAAATATATATATATTAAAAAAAAAAAAAGACTGAAGAAAGGACCTCTTTTCCACTATTTCGAATGCTTAATAGCTAATTTCATAACATCACATGTACCATTTTAAGAAAGTGATGATTTAGTGGGAAATTAAAGCTTTGCATCTGTATACTGTAAATATAAATGACGATTTGTTTGAAATGTGTAACTTGGATATGCAAAAGATAATAACTCACAATGTTAATATTAAATATTCCTTCAAAATAAAAAAAAATAAAAAATAGGCTGGTACTGGCAAAATAAAATAAAATAAAGTAAAATAAAATAAATAAATAAAATGAAAAAAAAAATAAAAAATAAAATAAAAAATAAAAACCAAGGGAATTAAAAAACCTGATGAACCATATTAACTGTTGAATATAATAGAATCAGAGGTACGGAAGAGGAGTGGACTGACAATTCTCGGGGAAAAGGGTAGTGGGGGGTGCGGGAAGAGATTAAACATAAACTGTGCACCTATGGATGAGGACAGTGGGGGATGGGGAAAGGGCAGAGGGTGGGGTGGGAATCTGGTGGAGGGGAAAAAAATGAGGAACTTTTGTAATAATATGAACAATAAAGATTTATTTAAAAAATAATAAAGATTTTTTTTTTAAATGTAAGCAATATGACTCCTGGGACCTATCACTTTTTTTTTTTTTAATATATATGATATTTTATTGATTTTTTTTACAGAGAAAGAGAGAGGGATAGAGAGCTAGAAACATCAATGAGAGAGCATCATAGATAAGAAGTTGGAAAAAAAATTTGATCCCAAATAGATAGATATTGGTATGAACTGAATTGTGTCCTCTATCCAAATTCATACATTGAAACCCTAACCCCAATTGTGACTGTAGTTCAAGATAGTGCTTTTATAATACAGTTAAGGTTAAATAAAGTCATAAGAATAAAGTCCTAATCAGATAGTATTGGTAGCCTTAATAAGAGGAAGAGAGAATTACAATGATTTTTAATGTTAAACCAAGCTTGTGTTCCTAGAAAACACCCTACTTGATCATCATCTTTATATCTGCTGAATTTGATTTGCTTTTTATGTGTGTAATATCTTTGTCAGGTCATAGTAAAAGAGTTATATGGTCTCATAAAATGAGTTGGAACATTTTCTACAGAAACATGTGTAATTCTGCTTTACTTTCTTAAATATTTTATAGAATTAACCAGTGAAACCATCTGGGCCTGACATTTTTTGTGTGGAAATATTTCTGATAATTCAATTACTTTAATAGATATAAGATTATTCATATTTTCTTTTTATCTTCTGTCAGTTCTGATAAGTTACATTATTCAAGGAATTTTCCAAATACATTTAAATTGCCAAATTGTCTAGCATAAAGTTATTCATGACATTTTCTTATTATTCTTTTAATGGCCATAAAATGTGAACTGAAAACCTCCCTTCCAATTCTGACAGTAATTTATGTTGTCTTTTCCTCTTGAATAGTCAATTTTACTGTTTACCAACTTTGTTGATCTTTCCAAGAAATTAACTTTGACTCAATTAATTTTCTCTAGATTTTTTCTATTTTGTTAATTTCACCTTTTATATATATCCTTTCATTTTCTTCGGAGAACATCTCCTCTCTTTGAAATGGTAGAAAAATATGAGAGGTGTAACAAGGTCAATAGAAAGTTCCTCTGTGAGTCTAGGCTTAAAATATTTTAATTTGCTTCCCTGGTTTCAGGCCTTTCCTCCACATTCCACAAGCCTTGGGTTTTTTAAGAGATAGCCTCAACAAAACCTAAAGTTTGTGCCTTTACCCTAACCAGCTTAGCTATTGCCTGCAGTAATGATTTTCCCATGCCTGCTAAGCCTCACTCACCAGGGTAGTGTCTTCTTATCCTTTCCCTCATAAGCATCCAGGGCTCCTTCCCTTTATCCAATAATGTCATCACATCTGGTTTAGAAATGGGAGGTCCTGATTAATAGAAAAATATGACATGAAATAATAAGCCAAAAAGTCCTTAGATTCCAATTTGCTCAAATTTATAATAAACTCTAGACCAAAATGTTATTTTATAAAGTCTAAGAGCAAAGAAATGCAAGGAGTTGAAGAATACTCATATTATGGTAACCTCGGGATCACAAGGAATAGACACCAGATAGTTAAGAATTGACCTTAGCATAATTTAAACTCACACAAGCTCTGTTGAGAGGCAGTCTTGAGTAGCGGTTAAAAAAATAAAATCTGGATCCAGACTGCCTGCATTCAAATACTGCCTTTGTTGCTATATTATCTCTTGTGCCAAAATTTTCTCTTGAAAGGAGAAAAATAATATATTTCTCATAGAGTTGTGAGGATTAACCAATAATGTACAATATTTACACTAGTTATATACTACCCTGTTTCCCCGAAAATAAGACAGTGTCTTATATTAATTTTTTCTCCCAAAGTTGCGTTAGGTCTTATTTTCAAAGGATGTCTTATTTTCAGGGAAACACGGTAGTTATATATGGCCTGACCAGTGAGGCTCAGTGGTTGAACATAGACCTATGAATCAGGAAGTCATGGTTTGATTCCTAGTAGGGCACATGTCTGGGTTGAGGGTATGCAAGAGGCAGGAAATCAATGATTCTCTCAAATCACTGATGTTTAAATCTCTTTCTTCCTCTCCCTTCCTCTATTAAATCAATAAAATATATTTTAAAAAGAATAGTTATATATGTACAAATACACATAATATATTTATACTAGTATTAACTTTTATTTTAATTTTGCTTTCTGTGATATTCTCATATCCTTTCTAGAATATTCATTCAATGTTTTAAGAAAAAGTCCTTAGAATTTTAAATTTCAACTACAAAGTAGGTAGAATTAATTATGTTTTAGGAAACAGAATACATTTAAACATTTAACTGAGTTTTAACTTTTTTTTTTTTTAATTGTTGTTATTCCTCACCTGAGGATATTTTTCCATTGATTTTTTTGAAAGAATAGAAGGAAGAGGGAGAGACACAGAGAGAAAAACATTGATGTGAGAGGGACACATTAATTGGTTGCCTTCTGCACTTGCCTGGACAAGGACTGGGAATTGAGCCTGCAACTGAGGAATACACCATTGCTGGGATCAAAGCTGGGATCCTTCTGTCCAAGGCTGATGCTCTATCCACTGAGTCAAACTGGCTAGTGCCATTTAACTGAGTTTTAAATAAAATGTATGGATCCATCCCTTTTTATACAAGGTCTATAGGCTCTGATTTTTAGAGATACTCAGAACCCCTGTATCTAGGTATTCTCCTTGCAGCTGGATTAGAAATGAATGTTAATTATTTACATTAATCCTGAGCTCAAATACAATGTGAAATCTGGTTTCTTGGACAATGATTCTGTTATAAGCAACCCAGAATTCAAATACTGCCCCTTGGATATTAAGGGAGGTACACAGCCCAAAGAAAGTCTGAAGGATCTAACAGGATGGGAATGACAAAGTATGAAATGGAGGGATCTACTTCCAAACTAACAACACTTGACCAATTGCTTTGGAATAGAGAGACAAAATTGATCTAGTTTCTCAAAATAAAGTCATGAAATTGATAGAAGAAAAAGCCAATATAATTTGGAATAAGTAGCCTTACCCAGAGAGATGAAGTTTCTATAATTCTCCCACATAACATCCCTATATAAGTCCCTCTGAGCTGAGTCCAGGAATTGCCATTCTTCTGGTGAAAAGTCTATGGCCACATCCCTGAATGTCACTGAACCCTGAAAAACAAACAAATGAAATATTTTTTAAATGGAAAAAAGATCAAAGATTGCACTGCAGAAAATGAGCCACATAGCAGCAAAGAGAGTGGGGCTAGAAACATATGGCATGCTTAAGGGATAGTAAGAAAATTAGTATCCCTGAAGCAGAGTGCTGCATCTCTTGAATAGTCCTATGGCTGCAGATAAGATTAAATTTTACCCACACACACTTGAAATGAATAAAATAACCCCAAAAAGTCCCAATAAAATAAAATAGTGCACACAGCCTTCTGTTAGCTATATCTCCACCACAAATTCTTAAGAAATATAAGGTTCTCTACCTTATTTTTCTTTGAATGATCATAAAAACATATTGATAACAATTTCTCTTTAATATACTATAAAATCTCTAAGAAAACAGACTCAAGTTCACCATAAAGTCAGATCCTAAATAATAAGTGGCTAATATGAAAATAGACCAAACAGCAGTACAACCGAACAACTGGTCACTATGACGTGTGCTGACCACCAGGGGGCGTGCACAGGACATGGCGGGCACTGGCAGAAGGTGGCAGAGCACAGAACATGGTGTGCATTGGCCATGGTGGGATAGTGCAGCGGGTGAGTGGGGGTGCCAGAACAAGGCAGGGCGACGGTCGCTGTAATCAGGACGAGACTCTGGTGGATACTGAAAATTCTTTGCTTCCGTGCACCACAGTCTCGCTTGGTGCTCGTACCGCTCACAGCCCCGATCACTCAGTGCTGTCAGCAGGTGCAAGCAGGTAGGTGCAAAAAGTGGCTGCCAGCCCCAATCGCCCTTTGGAGCTTCTTAACCTCCCCTTGCTCCTGAGGGGCAATGGGACCAGCAGCCACCTTTCGTACCTGATGCTGGTGACAGCCCCACTTGCACCCGCAGCCAGCACTGAAGCCACTGCTCGCAACTGCTGCCAGTGTCCGGCACCTGTCCCAATTGCTCTGCACCATCAGCTGATGCGAGTGGGGCTAGCACCATCAGCCCATGGGCGCAGCAGAGGTGGGAGCAGGGCTGCCAGCAAACAGGAGATGGGGGGGCCATGGTGGGAGGGGCTGGGCAGGGGCATGGAGGATGGGCCAAGATCTACACCTGTGCCCACCACAGCTTCGCAGCCCAAAGCTCCTTTCTAAGTGCATGAATTCGTGCACTGGGCCCCTAGTTTTATTATAAATATTTCCCCTGTTATTAACAATTTTTTAATAAATTTTCAAAACTTTGCTACATGGTAGTCTACATTTTAAATATGTAATATTCAATCTTTTTTCTCTATTTAGATGGTTTATTCAAAAGTCTTCCTCAAACCTCACAGTCTGTATTATCTAATACTTATTAATACATCTGGATGACCTTCTTACTCTTTATTATCCATTACCCATCACTGACCACCTTTTCTCATTCCTAAGTCAGAGGATACTGAATTGGGAAGATAACATTCTGAACCAGTCATTTTCAATTAGGAGTGACCTTACGCCTCAGAAAACAACTGGCCATATCTAGAGACAATTTTGGTTATCACAAGTTGGGGGAGGAGGTATATTACAGGAATATAATTGGTAGAAGTCAGGGATATCTTTAGACATCCTAAATGCAGAGCACAATCCCCACAATAAAAGATTTTCTGGCTCAAAATATGAATAGTTCCAAGGTTGAGAAACCCTGATCTAGACCAGCACATCCCATAAAACTACACAATGGATTGTTCTTGGCATTCTTCTCTCAGAATTTCCCAGATGGCTGTTAATATTTCTATTTACAATCCTGTTCTGATCACCTCCTATTCATTCATTAGATGGAGGATTCACTCACCCTACATAGCATGAGAGGCTGAATACCTAACACCAGATAGTTGAGATTGCCAGTAGTATATTAGTCATATACACTCACAGCCCAGCTTAGTAGGACACCAAACATCATACAGGGCTACACAGGGATTGCACTCAGGAATAGAGTGAATCAGCAGGGTCTGTGAGAGGCAGGCTGTATAGTAACAAGAGGGTGAGGTTCCCTGATTCCTACAAGAGGATGTGACAATAATTCTTGAGTAATTCTGCAGGCTGGCAGGGGAGTAAAACCAATACATTAAGAACCAGAATGGCGGCTAACATCAACAAATCAACAAATGACAATTATTGGCGAGGTTGTGGAGAAAAAGGAATCCTCGTGCACTGCTGGTGGGAATGCAGACTGGTGCAACCACTATGGAGAACAGTATGGAGCTTCCTCAAAAAACTGAAAATGGAACTCCCATTTGACCCAGTAATCCCACTCCTAGGAATATATCCCAAGAAACTAGAAACACCAATCAGAAAGGATATATGCACCCCTATGTTCATAGCAGCACAATTTACAATAGCTAGAATTTGGAAACAGCCTAGGTGCCCATCAGCAGATGATTAAATCAAAAAACTATGGTACATCTACACAATGGAAAATTAATCTGCCATAAAAAAGAAGGAATTCTTATCATTTGCAGCAACCTGGATGGAACTGGAGAACATTATGCTAAGTGAAATAAGCCAGTCAATGAAAGAAAAACACCACATGATCTCACTCATTTATGGATATAAGGAACGTTATAAGCTGATGAACAAAAAGATAGATACAGAGACAGTAAAGCAACAAGCAGACTGTCAAATTACAGTGGGGAGGGGAGGGAGATATGGGGGAGATAAGAGATCAACCGAAGGACTTATATGCATGCAAATAACCAATAGACACAAAACTCTGGGGAGGGAGGGCATGTATGCGAATGGGAGGGGGGAGGCCAATGATAAGATATGTACACATATAATAATTTAATTAAGAAAAATAAATTTTAAAAAATTTAAAAAAAAAAAGAATCAGAATGGCTGCTGCTCTGGCTGATAGGGGAACTAACCACATAGGGAACTAACCACATATGCTTTCCTGCTGGAGGACAAGCATATCTGATGAGAGCAGGAGAAATGGTTAAGCCTAAAATTTTATGTACTGCTTTTAGGCCTTGTAACATAAGGCCATAATCACAACCCTACCTAATCAATCAAATTGTAAAAGCCTTACATATAATAAGACCTCAACACATACAGAGACGGAGACCAGCCAATAATAATCTCATGTGAAGAAGTTTGGAATTTTCTCTATAGCAGTCAAATAGGATAAGATTTTCTCTCTCATCAAATCATAGATCTTCAAAGAAAGTCCAAAACTGGAGTCTACCACTTATTATCAATAATGCATTCCCCCAAGTTAGGCATTTTATCACTACATTATTGACTAATTTACCTATTTTCCCATCATTTTAAATCAAAGATTTATATTGCATTATACATCAATGTCAACCCCTCAACAGCTTCATATTTCTCCCCTGTATACAATTATAGTACACAGGGGTTAGTGCAGATGTACTTTGGCTTTAGTATTTTCATTGTGTGTGTTTGTATGTTTTGTGTGTGTGTTTGTTTTTGTATTTCACTGAACTCTTATTTCTCACTTGAATTGTTTCTTTCTCCTCAGGTTCTTCCAACTTTTTCCTACTTTTTAGGAATTCATTTTATACTTGGCACAAACAAAGGCTACATAAGAAGTATACTATGAAAATGCATTTCTAACAAAAACATAATGGCAGAAATGGCTCACATTCAGTATGATGGCCTAATGTCTCCTTTATAAATCAGCAGCACCAGATATACATATTCCCTTTAAGAATAATTGCATGTATTTCAAAACATCTACAGATAGTTCTGATGGTCTATCACTTGCATTTGGAATAAAATAAGACTCTTGCTGCACACTGTTTTTTGTTTTAAAATGTTGCATTGAACTATATGATTTCACTTACCAAGTTCTAAAAATAGGCAAAATTAATTTATGGTATTTGGTTCACAAGCCAAAATTTGCCGTTTTGTTGACTAATGAGTTTGCCGACCACTGACCTAGACTCTCGATTCCAATAATTACAGGCTGTTGCTGTTCTTTGTGATTAAGCCCCTATAGCATCAGAATAGAGGTTACATTTGGACTGGGTGGGTAGGGAGTGGCTAAGAGGGGACATCTGAAGTGCTAGTAATATTCTTTCTTGACCTGAGGACTGGCGGCATACATGCATTCAATTTATAAAAATTCATTTAGCTGTACACTTAGGACTTGTGCACTTTTCTCTATATACACTATATGTCAATTAAAAAGTTCAAAAAGCACTCTAGCTGGTTTGGCTTGGTGGACAGAGAGTCGGCCTGTGGACCGAAGGTTCCTGGGTTCAATTCTAGTCAAGGGCTTGTACCTCAGTAGCCAGCCCCTCCTCAACCTGGGCCTTGGTTGGGATGTGTGCAGGAGGCAACCAATCGATGTTACTCTCACATCGATGTTTCTCTCTTTCTTTCCCTCTCTCTTTCACCCTTTCTAAAAAAAAATCAATGGAAAATATCCTCGAGTGAGGATTAAAAGTAAAAATATAATAAATAAATAGTTCAAAAACCTTTTTAAAATGTCAAATTGTGTGTTGGGGATATAAATTTTTCCTTCATAAAACTATACTAAAGCTCATTGTACTCAGAGAACTATAGTCTCTCTGAAGTTTAGTATTAAAATCAAAAGCTTGTTCTATTGGAAAAAGTGAATATGTGGAATATTCTGAAGAGAATACCTGCTTTTTTATCAAGGTTTTATACCCTCATAGCTCTTGACAGATTTTATAGATAGAAGATAGTCCACATTAGCTGGGTGAGAAGGAAGAGAGAAAGAGTACATGAAGAGGATCCTGGACTATTTGTCCCCAATTCTCATGGGAATGAGAAAAACTATAGGTCCATGAATGGGATTCTGTTAAATAGAAAATTTTAGGATAAGAAATGAGTATTATGCATGACCTAGAAATTGACAATATCTAAAAATATCAACTTACAAGGGCCATGGTTTTGAACTGGTCAGTGCTTCTCAAGATTTCTGCTGGAAAACTGCAAAATCCATATAAACCAGATCTGAAAGAAGAAAAAAAAGCCAGGAAATCAGATGTGCCTCAGAGCTCCCAAAATTACTTACGTTAATATAAGCTTTTTTCCCCCTTCCCCTCCTGTTTCCTATTTCCCCTTCCCCTCCTGTTTCCTATCTATTTTTCACCACTATATCCACACTGATCACATACCCCCACAAACTAGAGGAGATTTTAGGGCGTCTGAAGAAATCAAATCCCTGAAGAAACCCAATGAACAACACTGGACTTGGTGTAGAACAGATATTTCTGCAGGAATTCTGATTAGTTCGCCATCTGACAATGTGGTCCTCACATGAGATTATTCAAACATGTCCTGAGCAATTCCCCCTGCTTCTAGTACAATTTTTCAGGCCCAAGAAAGGGTCACGCCAACGAAGGAGAACTTCTTTTGAGCCCCTGGGATTCTGCCTGAATTTTCTAAACACAAAGAACAACCACACAGATTGAGCCTGGCAGCTCCTGCCCCTATAAAGCTGCACTGGCCTTTCCCCAGCCAGGGAACTCACTATGCTGGTTCCCAGTTAGGACCTCTCATAGTATGACATTCTTTGCCACTCCCTCTCTTCCAGTATCTAAGCTAGGAAGGAGATACATGACAGCTGCAGTTGGTAAAAAACAAACAGGCATTGATGTATATATGCCTTATGGATGCTTGTTGATCCTCAGCATTGATCTGCAATGTAGTTCTTCTCTCCTTTCAATATAAAACTGATGCTCAGGGTCAAATCATTTGCCCAATATCAATTATGAGATGTGAGAGTGTTATTTTGTTTTGAATCCACATTTCTCTAACTAAAAAGCCACCTTTTCAACTTTGATTTTTGCCTCTTAAGGCTAAGATTTCCACTTCACTGAGAGAAACCTAAGCAAGAACAATTAACTATTAAATAGAAATAACCTTTCAAAATATACTAAACTTCGCTACTAATTATGATGATATGTATTAAAGCAACCCCCCCAAAAATAGCTTTTTACAGTAACTGAATTGGGAGATCTAAAAGTCTGATGATGCCCCATAATAGCAAGGTCACGGTACCCTGGCTGGTTTGGCTCAGTGGTTAGAAGGTTGGCCAGTGGACCAAGGGGTCATGGGTTCAATTCTTAATCAAGGGCATTGGTTGCAGGTTCCCCAGCCCTGGTGGGGTGCATGCAGGAGGTAAACAATCGGTGTGTCTCTTTCATGTCAATCTCTCTCTCTCTCTCTCTCTCTCTCTCTCTCTCTCTCTCTCTCTCTCTTTCTCTCTCTCTCTCTCATTTGCATGCTACATCTCATTTGTATATAGGATTTCATCCCAAAGCTGCAGAACAACATTCTTCTCAAGTGCACATTCTTCTCAAGTGGGACATTTACAAAGATAAACCACGTTAGGACTCAAAACAAGTCTGTACATGATCAAAAATATTGAAATTATATCAAGCATCTTCTCAGACCACAATGTAATTAAATTAGAAATCAACTATAGTAAAAACTCAAAAACACAAAAACACATGGAGGCTAAAATAGCATGTTATTAAACAACTAATGGCCCAGTGCATGAAATTTGTGCACGGGAGGTGGAAGGTTGTTCCTCAGCCTGGCCTGCACCCTCTCCAATCTGGGACCCCTCGAAGGATGTCCTACTGCCAGTTTACAGGGATCGGGGCTAAACCAACAGTTAGACATCCTTCTCACAATCCAGGACTGCTGGCTCCAGCCACTCACCTGCCTGTCTGCCTGCCTGATTGCCCCTAACCACTCTGTTTGCCGAGCTGCTTGCCCCCAACTGCCCCTCACCACTGGTCTACTCACCCTCAAATGCCCCCTGCCAGCCTGATCACCCCCAACTGCCACCCCTACTGGCCTGCATGCCCCCAAATGCTCCCTCTGCTGGCCTGCTCACTCCAAACTGTCCCCCCACCCCCCAACTGTCCTGATCACCTCCAACTGACCCCCATTGATGACCTGCTCACCCCACCTGGCCCCCCTGGTGGTCTGCTTACCCCCAACAGCCCCTGCCATCCCATCCTGGCCTGATCACCCCCTAGCGATCCGAGATCCCAGCCCCTCCTTTTTTCTTTTTTCTTTCTTTCTTTCTTTCTTTCTTTCTTTCTTTCTTTCTTTCTTTCTTTCTTTCTTTCTTTCTTTCTTTTTTTTTTTTTTTTTTTCAGTACCTCCTTGAGTGGAGGCCAGGGCCAGCTGGAAGCAAGTATCTAGGATTTACTTGTCTTCCTTAATTGAAACTTTGTAGCCTTGAGCAGAGGCCAGGGCCAGCCAGCGGGCAGGAAGCTTGGCTTCTCCCATCACTGGGGCAACCCAAGCCCCCTGCTCTCTCCAGCTGTGTGGCTGCTGCCATTTTTGTTGGGATTTATTTATTTTCTATAACTGAAAGTTTGTAACCTTGAGCAGAGGCCAGGGCTGGCCAGGAAACTTGACTTCCTCCATTGCAGGGGCAACCCAAGCCTCCTACTTGCTCCAGCTCTGTGGCTGGCTGCTATCTTGGTTAGGTTAATTTGCATACTCACTCCTGATTGGCTGGTGGGCATGGCTTGATAGTGGAGAGGTGGTTAATTTGCATATTTTCCTTTTATTAGTGTAAATGAATGGGTTACCAATGAGATCAAGCAAGAAAAAACTTCCTGGAAAAAATGAAAATGCATACACAACAACCAAAAATCTCTGGAACATAGCAAAAGCAGTCTTCAAAGTGAAGTCCAGAGCACTACAGGCCTACCTCAAAAGAAAGAAAGAAGAAAGAAAAGGAAGAAAAGGAAGAAAAGGAAGAAAAGGAAGAAAAGGAGGGAAGGAAGGAAGGAAGGAAGGAAGGAAGGAAGGAAGGAAGGAAGGAAGGAAGGAAGGAAGGAAGGAAAGAAGGAAGGAAGAGAGAGAGAGAGGAAGGGAGAAAGGGAAGGAGGGAGGGAAGGAGGAATGACCTATTTAAACCTACAACACAAAGAATTAGACAGAAAACCCCAGCAAAAGGAGAAGGAAGGAAATAAAGATTAGAGCAGAAATTAATGACATAGAGACTAAAACAAAAGAATACAAGACATCAATGAAACCAAGATCTGGTTCTTTGAAAAGATAAATGTGTTTAATGAACCTTTAGTCAGATTCATCAAGAAACAAAGAGAGAAAGGGCCCCCAAATAAATAAAATCAGAAATGAAAGTGGAGAAGTAACAACTGGTACCACAGAAATACAAAGGATTATAAGAAAATACTATGAACAACTATCTGCCAACAAGCTGGACAATGTTGATGAAATGGACAAATTCCTTAAACAATCTCCCAAAACTGAATCAGGAAGGATCAACCTGAATAGGCCAATAACAATTGATGAAATAGAAGCAGTAATCAAAAAACTCCCAACACACAAAAGAACAGGTCCAGACAGTTTCATAAAGGAGTTTTACAAAACATTCAAAAAGAACCAACACCTATACTCCTCAAACTATTCAAAAAAAAAAGGGGGAGGAAGAAACACTTCCAAGCTCTTTTTCTGAGGATAGCATTATCCTAATTCCAAAACCAGATAAAGATAATACAAAGAAAATGAATTACAGACCAATATCTCTGATGAGCATAGATGCTAAAATCCTCAACAAAATATTAGCAAATCAGATGCACCAATATATTAAGAAGATCATACAGCATGACCAATGGATTATTCCAGCGATGCAAGGCTAGCACAATATTTGTAAATCAATAAGCATGATACATCAAAAACACAAATTGAAAGAAAAAAATCACATGATCATACCAATAGATGCAGGAAAAGCATTCAACAAAATCCAGGATCCATTTTTGATTTAAAAAAACAAACAAACAAAAAAAAACACAAATAGCTTTAGCAATCTTAAGAAAGAAGAACAAAGTGGAGGAATCATACATAATACCAGATACCAAATTATACTACAAAGCCACCATAATCAAAATAGCCAATTACTGGCATAAGAATAGGCATATAGATCAGTGGAACAGAAGAGAGACCCCAGAAATAGACCCAAGCCATTATGCTCAATTAATATTTGACAAAGGAGGCAAGAGCAAACAATGGAGTAGAGACAGTCTCTTCAATAAACGATGTAAGGAAAATTGGACAGACAGATTTTAAAAAGTGAAACTAGACCACCAACCTATACCTTACACAAGAATAAATTCAAAATGGACAAAGACTTAAATGCAAATCTGGAAACCATAAAAATCCTAGAAGAAACCATAGGCATCAAAATCTCAGACATTTCTCATAGCAATGTTTATTGATATGTCTCCTAAGGCAAATAAAACTAAGGAAAAAAATAAACAAATGCAACTACATCAAAATAAAACACGTCTTCACATCAAAAGAAACCATTAACAAAGCGAAAAGGGAGCCCACTATATGGGAAAACATATTTGGCAATGATATATCTGATAAAGACTTAATATCCAACATATATAAGTGGAACTCATACCACTTAACAAAAGGAATGCAAACAACCCAATTAAAAAATGGGCAAAAGAGCCAAAACCGGTTTGGCTCAGTAGATAGAGCATTGGCCTGTGGACTCAAGGGTCCCAGGTTCGATTCCCGTCAAGGGCATGTACCTTGGTTGCGGGCCCATCCTCAATGGGGTGTGTGCAGGAGGCGACTGATCGATGTTTCTCTCCCATCGATGTTTCTAACTTTCTAAACCCTCTCTCTTCCTCTCTGTAAAAAAATCAATAAAATATATTTTTTTAAAAGATTTAATTATTTTTTTTAAAAATGGGCAAAGGACCTAAATAGACACTTTTCCAAAGTGGACATACAGATGTCCAAGAGATATATAAAAAATGCTCAAAGTCACTGATCATCAGAGATACAAATTAAAATGATAATGAGGTATCACCTCACCCCTGTCAGAATGGTTATCGTCAACAAATGCATAAATAACAAGAATGTGGAGAAAAAGGAAACC